AATGTGATTCTTCCATTTACACAAAAACATGCTTATATAAACAGAACAATGATAATTTATATTAGTTGTTGAATTTTTTCTTACTAAACTTGGTTGCTGCCAGACTGTTTTGTACAAATAGCTCTATAAACATGCTGTTAATCCAGCATTCTCCCATGAAAGAAGTAAGAGTGTTACTTCTAACTAGAAGCTTAAAGACCAAGAATATTTCAGAAATGACTGGAATATTTATACAACATATTCCAAGTGATCATTACAAAAACAATTTTGGAATACATACATATTTAAACCATGAATCCTGGTGAACTACCACATGGGATTTTTCACAGCAAAGTGCTTGAAGAGGTGTTTTTTTTTTTTTTTTGCAGTTGACAATTCAAATGCAATAGGATAGCTGCTAAAAACCATTTTAATAAAGGTCATACTTGAGACTTCACAAACAAGAATTTTAATTAATACCCTCGCAGTCAGCAATTAAATTTGCACATCTGATAGCTTCACAACATAGATTGGAGAACTGTATCAAACTACATACATTTACATGGCAATTGCTATGGCCAGGAGTTCAGGTTTTTGGTTTGTTTCAGAAAGCCAATGACTTTGTACAGAAACTAGGAAATGTAAAGGTGTTTCTGCTCTGGAAGATTCAACTGTAATCATATCCAGTAAATGGATGCTGTGTCCATACCAGAAGTTAATTTTACAGCATCCCTCAAGAAACAGTAGAGGCTTTGATATCATCTATCCCTGGGAATGGGTGTAGGATGGCAGGAAGGCTAAGGAGAAAGGGAGGAAGTTGTGGTCTCTTTTGTAGTGCTGTTTCTCATGATCATGGAAATACCGGCAGTCACAGGATCATGTACTCCCTCCATAGCTGAGCTGGGTCCACGTCAAGTTGTGAAGAAGAAAACCCACCTGGTTACTTGGTTGGGATTTTTTCCTGCAGTATATCTAATATCCTGAGCCTTTAAAATCATGGATGTTCTAGAGACAATGAACAGAATGTAAAGTTTATAACATCTCCCGTATGCCAGTTCAGCATGGAATATTGCATCCAAGTTTCTTTTCTTCATCTAAAAGTGATCTATCTTTACCTAAAATGATCATAATTTTGGACACAAGTTAAAGAATATTGTGCACTGTCATTGTGGGAGGCTGCTACTGGTCATCCAGTCACAGTGACGACACCAACAAATTATTCTTTAAGGAATCGAGGGACACCTCCAAACCAACTGCCCTTGTCCTTTTGAGGGAATTCACCTTGCTGGGCGTCAACTGGGAACACAAGGAGCAAAGGGGGAGGCATTCATTATTTACAATGTTTGCCTTCTGGAGCAACTGCTACAGGTGCTGAAGCCCTGCTTCCCAGGAAAAAAACCAAATACCACTTGCTGACAGAAAGAAGAGCATAAACCTTGTTATTTTCCTCTTTGCTTGTGTGCACACAAACTTTTGCCTTTGCTTTAGTAAACTGCCTTATCTCAAGCTATGAGTCATTTTCCACCTTATTCTCTGTCCCCCTTCCAGGTGGGGAGTGATAAAGTGGCTTGGTGGGCACCTGGTATCCAGCGAAGGTCAACCCACTACAGATGTTATGTAAAAGCTCAGAGAAAGCAGTCTAAATAAAATCATTCTAAGACAGAGGGAAATTGTACAGAGGGATAGGGTAATCAATTGTTCCCTATCAGAGTGAAAAGAAGTATTACATTTCAAAGAGTAAGTAAAGGCCAGTATTGTGCAGCATTTTCATTATTTACAACAGAATAAGTAGGTTTATTACATTTGCAGATAACATCTGACTGAAAAATACTGCTGATTTGCTGAAGGACGGGGTTAACATACAGACCAAAATTAGAGAAATGGCTTAAAGGGGAAAAAACTTGTCAGACAACAAATACTGACACTTGTGTTGGAATAAACAACACAAGATGGGAAAAAGCAGGTTAAGTAATAGTTGTTCTATGATCAAATCTGTTACAGAGTAAAGAAGGTTGGAAGGGAGAAAGGCAAAATTATAATTGCAATCTGAACACGTTAACAATATCAAGCCCTGATAGCGAAAAGTGTCATCCTATGTATGTGTAACTACGGAATGTGTAATACTATGATGTATAACCACGAACAGAGCTTGCAAATTGGAAGGGGAAAAAATCTGTAATCTTACTGCTGGTCTTTGTTTTTCTAAGACTAGAAAACCATGTCTTGGTTTTCTAGACAGACCTAGTCCACTTAGTGAGAGATCAGCATGGAGAAGGTGTCAGGGAGACCTCACTGCAGCCTTCCAGAAGCTTAAGGGGGTGTATAAAAACAGAGATATTTTTTATATGGGCAGATAACGACAACAAGGGGCAATGGTTTTTAATTGAAAGAGAGCAGGTTTAGATTAGATGTTAGCAAGAAATTCTTTACTCAGATCGTGGTGACGCACTGCAATGGGCTGCCCAGAGAAGTTGTCGATTCCCCATCCCTGGAAGTGTTCATGGCCAGGTTGGGGCCTGAGCAACTCGGTCTACTGAAAGGTGTCTCTGTCCATGGCAGAGTGGTTGGAATTAGACAATCTTTAAGGTCCTTTCCAACCCAAACCATTCTACTATCAGGAAAGAAAGAGAAGTTTTAAGCATGTTACAAACAAAGGAAGACTGCAGGAGCTTGGGTTGTCTCATATACTGAAGAAAAGACTAAGGAGTCTAAGTCTTGCAGGAACTCAGGGAAAAAAAGAGGGTTTATCACATTTGCAAAAAAGGACAGGCAACTCAGGAAATGTTTAAGGATGTTGTTAGGTCATGCAGGAAGAAAATTAGAGAGGTGAGGGACAAGGAAAACCTCCTTTATTGGATGCAGGGGGAAATACAGTTACCAAATACAAGGAAAAGGCTGAGGTACTTAACACCCTCTTTGCCTCAGTTTTCAACAATAAGACAGGTCATCCCCAGGACAACTGGCCTCTGGAGCTGGTAGACAGGGACGGGGAGCCGAATAGCCCCCCCTGTAATTCAAGAGGAAGCAGTCAGTGACCTGCTGAGCCACTTGGATCCTCAGAAGTCTATGGGACCAGATGGGATCCATCCTAGGGTGATGATGGAGCTGGCAGAAGAGCTCCCCAAGCCGCTCTCCACCATTTATTGTCAGTCCTGGCTCACTGGGAGGTCCAAGATGACTGAAGTTGGCCAATGTGATGCTCACCCAAAAAAAGGGCTGGAAGGAGGATCCAGAAAACTACAGGCCTGTCAGCCTGACCTCGGTGCCTGGCAAGGTTATGGAACAGATCATCTTGGGTGCGGTAACACAGCACACCTACAGGACAGATGGGGGGTCAGACCCAGCCAGCATGGGTTTAGGAAGGGCAGGTCCTGTCTGACCAAGCTGATCTCCTTTTATGACCAGGTGACCCACTTGGGGTGGATGAGGGGAAGGCTGTGGATGTGTCTATCTGGGCTTCAGCAAAACCTTTGACACCGTCTCCCACAGCATACTCCCGGAAAAGCTGGCAGGCCACGGCTTGGACAGGGGCACTCTCTGCTGGGTTAGGAACTGGCTGGAGGGCCAAGCCCAGAGAGTGGTGGTGAACGGTGCTGCACCCAGTTGGCGGCCGGTCACTAGTGGTGTCCCCCAGGGATCAGTGTTGGGCCCAGTCCTGTTTAATATCTTTACTGATGATCTGGATAAGGGGATCGAGTGTACCATTAGCAAATTTGCAGATGACACCAAGTTGGGGGGGTGTGTTGATCTGCTGGAAGGCAGGAGGGCTCTTCAGAAGGACCTGGACAACCTGGAGAGATGGTCTGATTCCAACGGGATGAGGTTCAACAAGGCCAAGTGCTGGGTCTTGCACTTTGGCCACACCAACCCCACGCAGCGCTACAGGCTGGGGGCAGAGTGGCTGGAGAGCGGCCAAGCAGAAAGGGACCTGGGGGTACTGACTGACAGCAGCTGAACATGAGCCAGCAGTGGGCCCAAGCGGCCAAGAAGGCCAATGGCATCTTGACCTTATTAGGAATAGCGCAGCTAGCAGGACCAGGGAAGTGATTCTTCCCCTGAACTTGGCACTGGTGAGGCTGCACCTCGAGTACTGTGTCCAGTTCTGGGCCTCTCAATTTAGGAAGGATGTTGAGGTGCTGGAGAGCATCCAAAGAAGGTCAACAAGGCTGGTGAAGGGACTGTGGCACAAGTCCTATGACAAGCAGCTTAGGAAGCTGGGGGTGTTTTTTAGCCTGGAGAGGAAGAGGCTTGGGGGGACCTCATCACTCTCTACAACTCCCTGAAAGGAGGTTGTAGCCAGGTGGGCACTGGTCTCTTCTCTCAGGCAACCAGCAGTAGGACAAGAGGGCACAGTCTTAAGCTGCGTTGGGGAGGTTTAGGTTGGATATTAGGAAGAAGTTCTTCACAGAAAGAGTGATTTGGCATTGGAATGGGCTGCCCAGGGAGGTGGTGGAGTTACCGTCTCTGGAGGTGTTTAAGAACAGACTGGATGTAGCACTTAGTGCCATGGTCTAGTTGACAAGGGGGTTCGGTCGTAGGTTGGACTCAATGATCTCAGAGGTGTTTTCCAACCTGTCTGATCCTGTGATTCTGTAAGGAGAGGTTCAGACAACATGCTTTGCATACATAAAGGTTAGCTGCCACAAGTAAGAAAATAAACTGTTTTCCATGATAGTGGTGGTTATGGAAAATGTTGTGAAACAAAAGTAATTTATTTTCAAGCTCCTTCTATCTCCTCCACAATTCTAAACTGACTGGAAGACAACATTTTTACATAAACTGATGACTTTAAAGATTAATGCTTCTAAATAAAAGCTTTGTTAGCTTCATGTGTATGAGTTCCATAAAGAATATTTCAAGACATATTTTATATTTCAGTTAGTAGGACAAAATGTCAAAATGAATCAGCTTGCAAATACATACAGTATTACAGACTATGAATTAAACTCCCTTTATCCACCAACCTAACATTAAACTGCAATTTATAATGACATGAAGTTTAGTACCAGAAAAAACAATAATTTGTAATTATAAAATCATTTAGCTTTATTTAATAAAATCTTCTGATATTCTTACTATTCCAAGAAATGAAGAAACAAACATTTCCACATTTTCTTTCATACCAAATGGTTTTAATCTTCACTCGCCTGAAGCAAGTTAGGGTAAATGTTGGACATACGTGTTGAAAATTATTATGTATTGCAATCTACCAACATTGTCTTTCTATCTGTGTTAAACATTAGCACCATCTACTGGTCCAGAAGGTCCTTTCAAACTTTAGAAAAAGCTGTGGAAAGTGATCCAGCCAAAATGATGCAAAACGATATTGACAGTAACACGAAGTTTTTCAGTCCCTGTATAGGAAAAGGGAGAAAAAAAGAAAAATATCATCTTGTCATAATTGATACCCCTTAAAAAGTAAAATAAAGAACTTTTATGCTCATTTTATGACAAAATTAATAACTCTACTATATGACATGGTAAATTTTATACCATTTTATTTCATATATTTGTAACATTTGCTGCTGAGAAGTTTATTACAAGCAATCTACGATCCTATACACTTAGTAAAATATTCACAAAATTAATTCAGCAATTTTTGGAGGTATTTTTAAAGGTCTTTGTCTATTTTTCAGATTATTTACAGTAAGCACTTATGCAGAGACTATTCAAAAATGTGTGAAAGGAATGGAAGATTTAGAGAGTTACAAAGATTTAGATAATGAGCATGATGATCTTCTCATGTGGTGCAACACTAATCTGCAGTGGAAGGCACAGAACTTCTAGCTGTAGTTCCAATGAGGCCTAACTCTTTTTACACAGTCACCGAAAACACTGGGAAAGATGATCTCTAACAGCAAGTTAGGTACCCATGGATCCTGGATAGATTAGCTAAGAGAACCTGATATTACACTGCTAGCATTCAGTGCTTGAAATTCCACTAGCAAAATAACTTCTGTCCTGTATGTTAGTACCTAGCAGAGTAAATCAGCTTGTTCTAGGCAATCACTGCCATATCAGTTTAGGATCTTTACGTTATACTGTAATTATTAAGACCAACTAACCTCTGTTGTATTTTTTAGTCTTTTGTTGAGCCTGACTCTAAAAGTCTACTCTACCTGTCTACATGATTATTAGGACAACTGCTCATTCGCCCACCTCCACTGAAAGAATTGACTCAAGTGAAAACTGTCTCAGGCTGTGCCTGGCATCCTGCCTCCTGGTTACACTACAGTCCTCACATACATCCACTGCTGCTCATACAGTTATGGAATTAAAATCTTCATTCCCATAAAAACTGTTCACAGTTTTTCATGTTTATTGGAAAACTTAAGCAGTGCATGATAGGACTTTCAGCTTCATAGCACAATACTTGTAAGGAGGAGAAATCTGAGATACAGCTGTATACCAAGTCATACTATTTCCAGAACTAGAGACAAGCAAGAGAGATTGGGCAAGAGACTCAATAACATTACCTTGATTTCCTTAAATACAAGGACTCCCCACATTGCAGCAACCAGGCCAGGCCCCTAAAAAACAGGATTCATTTGTACATTACAGCACTTCATTGAAATTTACTGCCTTCTCATTACTGCTCTCAGGGTGGTTGAATTTTGTCTGGATAACACATTTAGGCCTTTCCATTTCATCTAAGTAAAGCACTCATGACTAAAGCATAAACATCACTGAAATCTTTACTAAGTAAGACACAGTAAAATCTTCAGAAAGGACTAAAGAGGCAAGAGATTGCCTTTTTTTTTGGAGTAGGCACAATTTCTTTTTAAATTACACTGTGGAGTCTGCCCTGGCTGTTCCATGTTCTTTCAGTGGGCTAAATAATATGCCTCACTTTAGTCCAAACTTCAGTTCACTATGTTATCTTGTTTCAGAAGACTTTTCAGGTTTATTGGCAACTACCATGGATATTCCTAACATTTCCTTTATTAGCATGACTAACTATTTGGACAAAGTTTGATTTTATCACTCACAAAGCCAGCCACAGAGACAGGTCAGAAAAACTACTGATTATTGGTGATGATGCTGTACAGATTTCCTGGCTAACAGCAAACAATGATACACAATGGCAACTTGCAGGCGCTCTTTTTTCACACTATTTTCCACACACTTTTTCTCCTGAGGGAGCAAGGATCTGAATTTTCACGTCTGTTGAGAAAATATCTGAATATGAAGCAAAACCTGGCTCTGTTAATGCTTCCCATTAGAGCTGCTCTGAGGAACACTTGACGGATGTTTGGACAAGGACCTTCTCTCCATCCTCAGTGCAGCTGATGGGACACAGATATAGACCAGCAGGAAATGGTGTCTCATGCTGAATGTATGGGTGGGTGCTGTTTTCTAGTGAAATTTGAGGTGTTATTTCACTTCCTAGGTAATGTACACTGCAAGAGGAATGCATTTTTAAAAATGAAACAAATTGTTAAACGGCTGTGATGAATAGCTCTTGAAATTCTCTCCAGGGTGAAGTAAAGCAGCAGTTCTGAACCTGTGGTCCAGATAGGCAGTTTCTCATCACTGCTGTCCTTATGTTTTTCATTTTGTGATTTTATATCTTTGCCCTTTAGGCATACTGATAACTGAGTTACTAAAGCTGCTTTCCATTAATCCTTCAATTTCTAATTAGAACGATCCCAAGTCTTTTTTTTTCCATTGCATACTGCAAAGTTTATTCGGATTTACTGCATCTTGAGGCAAAGTTTAATCCCTATTAAAGATGTTTCATTAGCTTGATTCCAAAATACTGTTGTTGAGCAAAACTTTGGTTTTGGTATTTATTAACTCATTTGCCACCTTTGCATCACCAACTAGCACACTGGCAAGAGAGTGAAGGCAAAGTTTACTTTTACCTGGTGATAAAATTTATGCTTTAAAGGTACAGTGTCATAAATAAGAATAAAACAGGCAGAACAGGCCAACCTATTTTCCTCTCATTTGCATAAGAACATTATTTTCAGCAGTACATAATCTGTTCTGTTTGTTCAAGAATGGCAAAAAGAAAAAATATCTGACTTAATTAAGTAAAATGACTGCTAGGGGATAAAACTCACAAATTAAAACATCCAGATCAAAATGTACTCCCTGGGATGAAAACATAAAATATTTCTTCCTTTAATCACTTTGGTTAAATAGTTAATGTTGATATAATTCTGGTTCCAGAGATTTGGCTTTTATGTAACCTAAAGATTCACACTCTTAATTCTTCTGCTTTTTCTTATGCTTGGCATTGACCAGGATAGTGCTTGTCATAGTCATTTATGTTCCTAAAAATCCAAAGACTAGCACAGACAAGCAGAAAGGTAATATATACTCTTGATTAAAAATGTTCTAGATCCATCATAATTTCAACTTAATTTCACAAAGAGAAGGGTAAAAAAAAATTCACTTTTCATTCTAGTTACATATTTTATTTTTTATATACTTACTGCAGTAATTATTGGAAAGCTGACGACAGCACTGAGATAGTGATTGGCTATGAACCAGCAGCAATTGGCTATCGCCCAAAGCACACCAGAAAGAAACCCTAGAAAAATAAATCCTAATCAAAAACATGCATAGCAAGGTATAGACTGCAATTTGTGGAAAATTTATACTTATAGCATAATACAGAAATTGTAGGTATGTATTTGAGTACGCTAACTCCTTTAACAAGCTGGTTCTGGTAATCTAAACCAAAGCTCAAAGGATAAAAATCAGCTACTCTGAAGCAGCAAATTAATTAAAGTTCACAATTTTTGGGGCAATGTGCTCTCCATTTTGGCAGTCCATTTTTTAAAATCTGCAATGTCATTTTGTTCTAGCATTAGATTAGAATAAAATTTATCATTGTTAATTAATTAACCTAATAGGAATGCTCTTTGTCTCAAAAGAGACAAAAAGTCAAATGGAGTCACTTGAAAGGCAAACTACAATTCCAACACATAGCTTGGACTAATTACTGCAAAATGGTCAGAAGTAGTAATTGAAATGCTTTGCTGATTTAAAAAACAGTCATACCTGGCAATATGGCTTGGGGATAAACATTAGGTTTATTTTTCCTGACTGCACAGTAGATCAAAAAGTAGATGGTACTAGTAAGAAATATTCCACTGAAGTGTGCAAAAACATAATCTAAATCTGAAAGAGAAATTACAAAATTATGTTAGTATAAAACATCAGTTATTAATTTTAACAAAATTAATTTCACTGATAGCATTCATATAGACAAAAATGCATAAGGTGCTACTCCTAATAACTCAAAATTCAAATCTGAATGTGATGAACTCAGCTGCCAGTCAGACTGGATATGGTCAATGACACATATTAAACATGAACTAACTGCCGTGTTGACTCCAGCATTTATTACAGGTTTTTATGCATTTCTGTGAGTTGTTATTTTTGGAACTCTACTATATATTACTGCATTCATTTAATAAAACCTTGGAAAAATCCTCAAGTAAGGCTACGAAACTTGGCTGGGAATTTTACATAATTACATCCTTTCCTGATCATCTACAATGTGTTCCTGTATATAGCCTTGTTTCTTTTCTGTACTTTTAAGGGCAAGAAAACTGCACATACTATGTAAGCTAAACATGGCTCAGTTTTGCCCCTTTTTAATCTAAAGGATGTATCAAAATTTTGATTACCATAATCACTAACAATAATAAATTTGTATGGACTTTGTATATACTAAAAAGAGTATTTCCAACATGGCAAAGCAGAAGCATGTAACAAGGCGATCCCTGTCTCCCTGGAGCTGTAAATTCTCAACAGGAAAGGCAGCTATATTAATGACAACATCTGTTTTGCCTAGGTGGGGAATATACAAACTGCAGTATTCAAGAGAAATTGTATGTGACAATGGCAACATTATGCACTCTCAGCAATACTTTGCTCGTAAGCTGCTGCTGGTATTACCTGACAGAGTACAATCTAAACCTTAAGGAAAATGTTTTCGGAGAAATGTTGTTTCAAATTGGCAATTAGGCTTGCATTAAAAGGTTTCAATTAAAAAACCTACACGGTTTTAATTACTTATGTTGTTATATTCTGCTCCACTCATAGCTTATTATCAACCTTCTCTTCCTTGATTGGTGTACTAATTTGGCAATTGGCAAGCTTGTGCCCTTCTTCACCTCATCCTCCATGCATATGAACTTCATATTTTGAGAGTGCTACTATTTAATGCCTTCTGGAACATAGCTATGAGTTAAGTGTGGTAGCCTTTGGGATGTTTCTCACTGGTTTTGATGGATTAGTTCACCTCTGAGAAAAAGGGAGTGCTAGAACTATGATTATGACAACATATAATGTAATGCAGAACCAATAAATTGTCATGGTATATTTTCAGGCATATGAAGAATTCCACCCTATGCCTTTAAAAAAGCAGGAAAACACAATGATTAAATAAAGTAGAAATGATCTATTAGCCTTTACCAAACTGACTTGCTCCTGTGTATATAGTTTCATTTCTTCTTCCATGGTCCTTGATGTAAAGTACTGGTACAAAACTGGAACCGTACAGTATTCCAGCTACTACAGCCAGGCTACAGCCTCTTTAAAAAGAGCAAATATTGGAGAACATAGCCTAGCATAAATTAATGAAGTAGACAACACACTTAAGCACCCAGTATTGCACTTAAACACTGTGTATCATGTGAAAATTGCTAGGTATAAAGATAATGCATTTTGGTACATGTTTATTTGCAGTGTAGTGTAGAAATGGTTCATTGAGTTTCCTTATACTTTGTGGCCAAGTAACATGGAAAATTCTTGCCCCAAAAGCGAGCAGTCTAGATTAATGACATGGGAAATTAACTAACTACAATTTCCTAAAAGGGAAAACCAAACAAATATGTAATTAAAAATGCTCACACCCTCAGCTTCATTGTTGCAGTCTATTCATTCTTTTATCACTATTCCCAGACTCATTGCTCTTTAGTCCCCTTCTTTATCTCTAGATCGTTGAGCTCTTGGCAGTCTCCCCTTGCTTGCTTCCACTTTGGAGCACTTCTACTGTCTCCTTACCATACTGCCATGCCTTCTCCAGATGTATTTAACCAGAAATCACACCTGGAAGCACATCATTAGCACAGGTTTCTTCTATGCTGGAGTGCTAATCAACCAGGTGACAAAAACCAGCTCTGTAATTAGTTGATATTGCTATTTAGTTTGCCAGTTTTTTCGTAGTAGTATCTAATACTTAATTGGTAAGGTTAAGCACACTCAACAGTGTCAAAGAAATAATCTAAATATTTGTGCAATTATTCATATATAGATTTGCACACTATACTAGTATACAAACCCCTGTTATTTATTATTGTGTGACTTCGCTAGGAAAACCACAGGACACAAATTCTGCTCTTATGCTGTGTTCAACTACTTTCTCTGGCTATTTGGTCTGTACCAGTAAAAGAACTGTTAATAACCTACATGAGTCTCTTTTTTGCTGGCGAAAGTCTGTTCACCCACGAGTCATCAGAGGTATCTTCAGAAACATTAATAGACTGCAAAAAAACAAGAGTTCTTCATGCAAGTTTAGTTTAGTTTGATTTCTTAAAATCTGTAATCAGACTGCCTTCTAAGATTTAATCTGGTAGACTGGAACCTCTAGTGTGCATTGAGCATAGTTAGAGAACTCGGGGTTCAGGTGGCAACTGAGCACTGACCTCTAAGAGTAAGATACAACAGTAGTAGGAGCCTATTGTTCTCTAGCTGTTGTTGAACACTTTGGGCTCCCAAAGGAGCGACAGCCAATCTGGCAGCCACCAACCCGTGCCATAGTTGATGATGAGATGACAGTCAGCAACTCTTGACAGTCTCCTGGCTCTGTAATGTGGCAAAAATCTGACCCTTCATCTAAGCACCCTCACAGCTTTATGGTTAACATTTAATGGAAATTGCTTCCTCTTCTCACGTAGGAAAGCAATACACTGTGTCTTTTATATCTCCATCATAATGAAAAAGGACTTTCTAAGCTATTTAAAGCTGACAATCAAGAAAGAACACTTGGGAAGAAACTCTTCTGTTGCTAATATTTAACTCGATATACAAGATCCACGAATTAAGATACAATCAATGATACAATCAATACATATTTATGTTGTTTCATGTAGTCTACCATAAATCCTAGCAAACCTGAGTAACAAACACAGTTTTTGTTTTTAAACGGATCTGTACTTTCACTGCTGTAAAATAACAACTGTAGAGGACTTACACTTTCTCTCAGTAAAGGTGTGCTTTCTAATGAAGCTGAAGAACTCTGGACTTCAGTTTTTATAAAAAGAAATATGACAGCACTCAGAAGAGAAAAATACACCAATAAATATCATGTCAGCTCATAAGGACGTAACATTTAGTAACAAAAGTTATAACTGGAGGCACTGCTTTCATTATTACCCTAGAGTCGCTTCAATATATTTAAAAAATGCAATTGCTTTAAACAGTCATAACTTATGATTATATATACACATTAAACATATATAACACATATATAAAATACAATAATTATAATTTATTAATTTAACTTAACTAACAAACAACCTAAGTAAGTAAATAAATCAGGTTTTGTATCACTTTATAGATCTCTCTTCTTATGCAATGGGATTGAAATGTCTCCTTTTTACAGTGTGTAGTTACAGCCACATTAACAACAGATGCCTTAGTTAAGAGTGCCCTTTTGTACCAAACCACAGATCCAATGGAACACTTGTTATTCTATATGGAACAGCTTAAACCTGCACAGAACTGGCTCTACGCTTAAGGAAAAATGTTAGTTTTTAGTCTTCTATTATATGTGAGGGATTGAATACTGCTGCTACCAGGCCTCACGCATATGTAGAAGGAGAAGAGGTATTGCTCAGAGGGGCTCCAGTGCACTAAGTGAATAAAATGATACATTACTACTTGTACCCCCAGCTCTAGGAAATGAGGTAAATACATGCAATCAGAACTGGAAGGATCTGTTTTTTATTTTTATGAAAAACATTTTAATGATTTAGGAATTTTTTCTCCAAACTCCAAACAGAATGTCTACATTTGAAGAACTGTTCATGCCTTACTGAATAAGTATAAAAGAATGTCAGCTTCCTCCAGAAGGACTTGACAAACATATACAGGTTCCACTCAGAAGGCTAAAATGAACTCGGCAGAGCAACTAACACAGGCTTTGTGCAGTTTGCCAGGAAAACATGTCTGGTCACAATCTTTTTCCCTGTTGATCTTTCCCCCGTGATATATCAGAAACAGGCAGGAAGCAAGTGGTGAGCTGCATGAATTCATCAGGAATGAATAGCAGTACGACTACTATTTTCTCAGTACCTCCCAAACTCATGTGCCCCACGTAACAGTAATGGGTACAAAGCTGCAGACTCTTAGGAAAGAGGGAAAGTGGAAACAAACATCATGAATCTAAGGCAGCAGCTCTCTCCTAGCAATCAAAAATGGTCCCTTATCTCCATGTTCTTAATTACCTTCATTTCTGAAAGGCATTATGTCCACCTGCTGCTTACTACACTTGTGGAACGCCCTTAGGATTTAGGGCTGCCTTCCGGGCAACCCAGCTGGAAAGCAAGATCACTGCTACTTAAGAAGGATCCTCTTTCCTCCATGTTTGGACCAAAGTGTATGCACTCATGCAAATAATAACCAACCAAAAAATAAAGAATAAAGCCCTTCTCAAGATCCCAAAGGAGGATACTGTTTGGAAATTTAAAGTGTGGCTTAAGAATTACAAGACAGGGAGTTATTACGGACAGGATAACATGCAAAGCCTCTTGCTTTTCATGGACCCCAAAGTATCAGGGAAAGGGTTCTGTGGCATTTCAGTGGTTTTTACCCTTGACTGAGTGAAATCAGATCATAAATCTGAGGTTTTCTCAACAAGATTCTTCTAGTCAGATTTGTCCTCTCTCACAGGATTTGCAGAAGTGAAACATTTCAACAACCTAGCTAGGGAGGCAATCAGGAAATCCCTGCTTTGCCTTGAACGTGCATACCAGCATAAAAATATATTTCTGTGTTTATGGATAACCATGCCACCACTGTACTGGGTATCATGTATGTTCCTACTCTGAAATACAGCACTGACCAGCTAGGTATGGATATGTCATGATTTTGGCACTAAACTGATTTGCAAAAAATATTTCAATACATTCACTCGCTAGTTAAATTGTCCTTGTGGTTGATTATTAAATATATATTTTACATTACAGAAATTCATTATAAGAATAAATTGTTACCTTAACAGTGAAAGTCCAGCTCCAATATAATTTAAGATCGGTCTTGATACCTCTTCTGGGTCAATTCCAAACCAACCAAACCTGGAACATTCAACCAGTTTCACTTAGTTGCACTGACGTTATATGAATAGTTAAGTTATAATCTAGTCTTTGAAATCTTGACTCATGTAAATAAACCTCTCAGATTAGCTCAGCTGGTTAGAGCATGGTGCTAATGATGCCAAGGTTGTAGGTCTGATCTTTACAAAGGCCATTAACCTAAGAGTTGGACTCAATAATCCTTGTGGGTCCCTTCCAACTCAGAATATTCTGTGACTTTTTATCTTATCTTAGAATTCTGTTTAAGTATATATTTGCGGCATTATATCAGTGCTTCAGTTGGCTTGCAAAAAGCTATGTCTACTCTACAAAAATAATCTTTACACTAATTTACTGTATATTGATTTTTTAAATCTGTTAAAATTCACTTAAAATTGAAGTTAACTTATTTTATCAGACCATGTTGCAAAAGAAAAAATACAGTGTGCTAGGTTTACACTAACAAATACATTATTTATCGACTCAAGATAATGACCATCATTAGGCACTCTTCTTGCTATTGAGACAAAGGAAATATAAAAAGGTAAAATAATTAACCTGAGTACTTTCCACTAAGAGGGAATAAGTCTTAATATATGTGATAAACTCTCTTTAGAGGTAGACTTGGTAGTGTTAGGTTAATGGCTAGACTTGATGATCTTAAAGGTCTTTTCCAGACTAAATGATTCTATGTTTCCACAGGTGATAGCTTTCGCTGCAGTTATTAACGAAGAATTGGCAACATTAATTATGTATGACTTAAGACTTAAGCATACTTACCTTGAACTTGCCCAACCTGTCAGCAAATTAAAAGAAGCCCATATCAAAAGGCCAAGAGCTAAGCCAATAGTTTTAACAATAGGAACAACTGTAATATTGCCTGAAATACAAAAAACAAAACTGAAATCAGTTAAAAAATAGAATGTGGTCTTGTATACATTTGCTTTAGATTTTGTGCCTGTTCAGAAGACAAAGAAATTTAGGAAACCACAAGGTGGGAAGAAGCAATGTTTTAAAAAATAAATACACTGAACATGGACTTTGCCTCCATACGATTTTAAAAGTTACTTCTAGTGTGAATTTGCCTCTTATAAAATAAGCATAATAAAATAACATTTACTGTAATGGTACAGCTCCATTAATCCCGAGACTTTAAAAAACCAAATAACTACTAAATTACTACCTTACATATGGAAAAGGTTTTATCACCTTTTTATGAAGCAAGAGGATTACTTTGTGTTTCAAGATATGAAATCTCTTTATCCTCACCTGTAGCCCACACAAAACCTCCAACCATAGCCAGAGGCCAAAACCGGGGACAATTCTGGATCAAATTGACCACCAAAGAAACCATCCATATGGAGGCACAGAGAATCCATTGGAAGAACATGCCTGTGGAAAAATCATGTGCACACAATAGAAAACTTGTAGAATACTGGATGTGTGAATCTCTTAACATAATAAGTAGCTCAGAAAAAATTCAAAAAGGTGTCCACCTCCTTTGTGAATTTCAGGGACCATGTTACAATATATTCAAAAGATAATTTTTTAAGGTGGGTTATAATTCTGTTAACTTTTCCTTATCATGCATTCGTTATACACAGCTGCAAAAGATACTTCGCTGCACAAAATTTACACAAGCCCTGATTCTCAAACACATGAAAATTTTGACAGAATTCTGACAAAGAGGGTATTCAGTTGCTGCAAACTTTTCCCACAACCCTAGGAGCTGCTAACATAGATGACTGCACAGGGAAACACTCCTTCAAAGCTCAAGCTTTTCCACTAATCCAGGACACTGATGATGGTCAGTGACACATTCCTTCTACCTCTGTAGATTCTAGAAGGGTCAACGCGGCAGACTGGTTAACTTTATGTCAGCTATGCTCAGACTTTCACTTTAAAGCCTCGCCTTGTCTTGTTAGGGCCATATATGTCATGAAGAGGAGAGGTTATATCCAGCCTGCAATGCAGACACCATGATTGCAATAACAGCTATTCATCTAGGGATCTTGTAATTCATTACATTTAATATAAACATGGAAATATAACATAAACCTACTAGAGTGATGAAATTCCAAGCATGAAATAGGAAGGTTCATTTCCTCTTACCAACTCACCAAATAAACGTATTAAAATCTCAATTTTTCTATTGTTTTTATGTTAGGTCCACAAATGAAAGGCAACTTCTCTGAAGTCCAACAACTTTAACCTCATAAATAACATTGTAGGTATCTGAGAATCCCCACAAGGATAGAAGAAAGGACATTTCATTTTCCATTGTGAAATGCTCATGAAATGTACAACATCACTGTTAGAGTGCACAACAACAGTTAAGAAAGCTCTTCTAAAGATCTGTCACATCCTGAAGCAGTACTACTGCTTTTTACCCTAACAACAGCAAAGAAAATTAAACACACTCTATTGGATTAAAACTGTGATGATATTTACAACTCTAGCACAGAAACTCTTGTATTTGCTGGTAAAATATTATTCCTATTAGCAAAAACAGAAAACCAGACAAAATAAGAAAGTTTACCATCACCAGTATCAAACTTCTTAACAGGGACAAAATTTGTCCCAAACAGAAGGACAGCTACTGCAGAAGAAGTAAAGCCAATAGTTAGATCTGTTCCATTGCTGGTGTTAGTAGCACTGTAAGCTTTTCCGATATTCATCTTTGTTCTCTAGGTGCCTCTTTTTGTGGAGTTGTTTTGCTGCAGGTCCTGACAGATTCTGAAATAAAAGACTGGAATTAAATATGGGGAGTATTAAATAATACCAGTGTAGTTCAGCAATCTGAAACTTAAAGGACCTTACTTACTAATCTCTCAAAAGCTGGAATGAACTGCAAAGTATACTGTAGAATCTCATGAGATGCGAAGCTGACATAAAATATGAATAAAGTGATTTAAGAACAGATGCACTACTGTTTCATAACCAGCTTCAGACAGAAAAACATGTCTGAACACATAAAAAGAAAACGTAGAGGTGCACTCAAAGGTTATGAGGACTTCAATCCATGGGAAGCCTGATGCTTTAGTGAGATGTTCTATCAGACTATTCCTTATTCCTGTAGCCAAAGGGCAGGCCATATCGGGATGTATAAAAAAGCAGGGGTTAGACAAAATCTTAATTGGCAGAAGAAGCTATAGCAATCTGCAGACCCACTCTCTAGAAGTTGCGAACAGCTAAAGAGATTCTATATATGTCACAGTGGGATCAATACAAGATCATAAAGCAACCAAAGGGATTGCTCTAGCTGATAAAAACCATGAAAGGTTCATTTTTTCTCTGGGGAACAAGGTTTCTTCATTCATTCCACATAACTATAATAAGAAAAGCAAAGATATTTTTAATCCCATAATACCTCTCTTTTTTTTTAAGTGGGAGATTCATCTTGAGGTTACACTCAACAGATGTGCCATACTTTTGATATGGATTATGATATAGATTATAACTTTGGTAGAATGATTGTCTCTGAGGACGATCATAATTATGTGAACTTTGCAAACATAATCTTACCACTACACTTGAAAGACTACAGGTAGGAAAAGTGTTTGGAAATTTAACTTGAAATGGTAACAGGATACTTAATATGTTGCTATAGCGATATTCATCCAATTCTCTTGTCAAAGTAATGCTATTTGTATTGAATCAAATGACATCCCAATACAGTTTGCCATTCCCCAGTGTAGGTGGACTAGCTACTGCCTGGAGAAAAAAAGCTGAATTAGGATGGTGGAAATTTTGCCAAGTCTTGTAAGAGATGTTGTGACTACACTCTCTGCACAAAATAAGAGCTGAGCTGCTGAACATTCTTTCATATTATTTCACCCTCCAGTCTTACCTTCTCCACAGTCCTTAGGACACCAAGAACTGTATCTCCTGAGGTTATGCTTTTATCTGCATCTTCAACAGGGTCATCAGTGCTTGCTGAAATTAATTATCTGTATTAGCAGATGAAAAACTCAATTCCACAACTATATAACCATTTAATTTCTGTAATTTTTCCCCTCAAAAGATATCAGTATAGCTCTAACTTAAGAAAAACACAGATAACACTTAAAAGACACATCATGAAAGTACAATGGCTGTTTCAATTTATATTGACTTTTCTGTCCCTCCTCATCTTTCTTTCCTGCTTAGCATATAAGCTTCTCCAGGAACTTTTCACTGTATTTAAGACTCTTCTACAAAGTGTGTTTTACCCAGGACCTGTAGACACTGATCAGTGCAAATAATAATTCTGAGATTTCTTAAAAAACTCGACTTCACAGGATACACTGTGACATGACAAGAAAAGATCAATATAGATAAAGGCTGGCATCAGCTACCTTCATTCCATTAACCTCAACTCACTAAGTGAATACATTTATTCATTTAGTGCACAACTAAGACACAAGAGCTGGGTTTTGCACATTAAGAACACCATGCTGTTAAGGACACAGAATTAAAGCTGATTACACTGCACCTCTCTGAATGCAAGAATCACACCTTTTGCCTTTAAATAAATGAGTCATTATGCAGGTAAGATACTATGAACCTTTCAAATTTGAAGTAGCTTATCTGTCTTTTGGTTTTGTACAGAAAATTGTTACTTTAAAAATATATCAGTTTTGTATCTACTAAGAGAAAATCTGTGCTGCAGGGCAATACACTCTTCTGCTTGCTTCGTATCTTCCAAACATCTCTGTATTGTACACATTGAAGACTGTTGCACAGTTGGAGAACCAGAATCGTAATACCCAAACCAGAAAGACAACTCTACTTAACTAAGGAAAAGTGTCCTTCATTCAGACTGCTTAAAACTCTGTTACTTTCCAAAGTTTGTGACACTTTGTTCCAACTTTGGCTAAATTTCAGACTCAGCTTTCAACTCCATTTTAAGTCCTTCAAGAGAAAGCTCAACTAGACAAGGCCTGGAGCAACATTCTCTAACTTCAACGGCAGCACTGCTTTAAGCAGGGAGTTGAACCAGATGATCTCTGGAGGTTCCTTCCAAGCTAAATAATTCTACTATTGTATGATCCAATGTCAAGAGCAAATAACGATCTGGCACACAGCATTAAGCTGACTATACTTTTTGCACATACAGAGCTTCAGAGAATTCCCTAAAAGCCTCTTCTCTTCAATCCTGTGTTATTGCCACATGGATTGCTTATATGCCTCCATTATAGATACCAAATGCCAAATCAGGATCACTTGCTAAAGCTGCCATATTAGAGCACAGTGGTTGCATCTGAAAATCAAGCAGAGACAACTGGAATTGTTGCTGTTATTGAAGGCTTTTTTTCCCCCTAAATAGCCCTTACTGAAGGGTGCTTCAGGGTTCCCAAGCTGTAGAAGAAATATAATGGGCTTCTGTTGGCACATATTCCGCTTATCCTACTAACTTCACTGGTTCACCTCACCCGAATGTTGTGCTATTTTCACTGTTTTCTCAGAAATTTGCCACTATTTGCTTCCTTCACAGAGATACACAACAAATTATGATGCTCACTTAATGCAACAGCAACACATTGCTGTGGTTTCCACAGAGAGGTATGAAATCAAGAAGCCTGCCTTTGGGAGCTTTCACCCCAAAAGAGACCCGAGCTGCTGTTAAGATCCCGAATAAACTGCTTGCGCTAACGGAATGGGTAATTTTAGAGGTTGCTAATGGAATGGGTAATTCCACGTTGACTGTTTATTTGCCCCTTTGTCCTATCATGTACTTGCCATTTAAGAATGGATACTTTCACCCCGAATTTAGGAGATTGCTACCAGTCTAAACGTGGCTCAGAGCAACGTCCCCAGGTGACACCGCAACTTACGACTGGAGTTGCTCAGGAAATGTATGTTCACGACCCCGAAACGAACGCTTTTAAAAGACGTTCTTCCGGCAGTGTTTTCAGCAAGCGCTATCACGGAACACGGAAATTGCTCAGCTGAGCGCTCCACACAGGCCCGTGTGGCTGCACTGACGGGGCAGCGGCGGGGCGGGCCCGGCCGTCTCGCCAGACGCGGCTGCTCGGCCCCGCACGCCGCGGGGACACTCGAGGCCCGGCTCCAACCGGACGCCTTCCGTCCCCCAGCGCCCCGCGCCCGGCTCACCGCCGCGGCCGGTTTTACAGGTCTGCGCTGCGGGCCGGAAGGCGGCCGTGGACGAGCTCGCACCGGCTGATTCCTCGCCCGGGCCCTACGTGCAGCCTCGGCCCTCCACTCCCGCCGCCCGCACCCCTCCGCGCCCGCCCCCACCACGCTACAGCCGGGGCCGCGTACATGCCTCGCCACCGCTCCCAGCGGCTCCCGCCCGCGCCAGCACCGCCCCGCGCCTCGGCCCGCCCCGGCCCGCCCCTGTCCGCCCCTGTCCGCCTCCACCGCCCCCATCCACCCCCATCCGCCCCCCGCCCTCAGCCTGCCCGCCGGCCGGAAGTGCGAGGAAGAGCGGCAGGGGTGGCACGCGTCCGCCTTTCCCTTGCTGCCCTAGCGGAGGAGACTTCCTGGGGCGTCGGCTTCCCGTCTAGCGGGGGACAAACACTGAGAGAAACCTTAAATTAAGGCACTGACGTTGTGACTAAAGCGCCCTTGCCCCTCCCGGCCGTAAGCGGCAGTTGATGAGACAGTTCTCACCGTGGTGAAGTGCACCCGTGTACTTCAGAGGCCGATGCTGTGCTGTAACTGCACATGAAAGAATCACAAAATCAGTCAGGTTGGAAGAGACCTCTGAGATCCTAGAGTCCAACCTATGACACCACCACTGTGTCAACTAGACCATGGCACTGAGTGACACGCCCAGTCTTTACTTAAACAGCTCCAGGGACAGTGACTCCACCACCTTCCCGGGCAGTCCATTCCAATGTCTAATGACCCCTTCTGTGAAGAAATTCTTTCTAATGTCCAACCTAAACCTCCTCTGTTGCAGTTTAAGGCTATGTCCTCTCATCCTGTCACTAGTTAGAGAAGTGAGTGACCCCCACCTGGCTACAACATCCTTTCAGGTGATTGTAGAGAACCATAAGCTCACCCCTGAGCCTTCTCTGCTCCAGGCTAAACAACCCCAGCTCCTCCTTCAGCTCCTGCACTTAAGCCCTGTGCTCCAGAAAAGGCGCCCAAGTTTTGGCAGCACTTGCCCAGCAACACAGCCGTGGTTCAAAGATGGGACTGTTCCCACAGGGGATAGTGTGGTCTCCTTAAAGGGCCTCTCTTGCTCCTAAGGCCTCCCTGACTGCTGGGGGGCTTCACGGGGCTGGGGGGGTCACAGGCACCTGCTGAGGGGGGCAGGCATGTCAGGGAAGGCAGGGACATTTCAAGGCCATGCAGCAGCCTGTGGTGCACAGCAAGGCAAGGAAAGCCCCCAGGCTGGTCAGAGCATCCAGGGTTTGTTCTCTTAAGCACAAAAATTACCACCAGTTGCTCTGGAAGCCCCTGTGTTATTTGGCAAACAAAATCAAGTAGGGAAAAAAACTTTTATATGCTGTCAAGAAGAGATTTTTGCAGATTTCCCTGTAAGGATTTGATCCAAACCAGCTAAAGCACAGACTATTAGTCAGCATGTTTAGTCATGAAGCAAACATTTCTCTCTGTACTGTTGAAGTACAGTTACCAGATGGCAGCCCAAATTGATCCCCTTACAAACACAGCACGAGCCTTCTAAAGTAATGCTTCATATTTTGCAAATCAAATCTGCATTTTCCATAATAAGAATTTATGGTTTTTCTCTGGAGAATAAGCTCTCATTCCCTTGGATCCAGTAAAGCTAGGAATGCACCATTTATCAATCAATTTAACATAAATGTCTGTACATGTGTCATTTAGAGCTGAACTGCAGAACGTCTCTATGGAAACAGTTTAGCTATAGTGCATCCAAGAGGAACAAATGTAGCCCGGAAAAAAAAGAATTCTAAAGGCAGTGCAAATATATGTGTTATATTATGTTATTTAGAAGAAAAGTATTAAGAACAATATTAATCTTTCATGTTGAATTGCCTGCACATAGAAAGCAAGAGCACATTAAGGAGCCTAGTCTGTGACTGCATCATTTCAGGTATCCAGGGATAAAGACAAGTCAAGATGCAGGAGCTTGTGCCTGGTGGTCATTGATACAGTCCACCTGTCTCCTGCAGATTGGCCACAGGCTGTCGGCTAGGAAGACTGGCAGCAGTGCAGGCCACCAGCTGTTTCAGAGTCTGTAGCTTGTCCAGCATGATCAGCAGCACCCTGGGTCACAGTTCTTCCCATCAATACAGGTTGATCTGGTTTCCTCTACAAATGCATTTATAGGTGGGGATGAATTTCCGAGGTTAAATCAAAACCGAACCAAAAAAACAAAACAAAAAAAAGGGGGAGGGGGAGAAAATAATTGCAAATATTCAGTTCTTTTATTCATTTACATTTGCAAACTATATCTAGGACTGTGAAGGACTAGAAAATACTTCTTAAATTCCCCTCTTCCATATATTGCTATTTTCCTATATTAGTTCTTATATTCCTGTGTTCCTAACCTTAGGAAGGGATAACACTGACCATGAAATATGGGTATATGAAAAAATTACATAAAAAGCTGAGTTTAATGGATGCAAATGACAGTATCTCAGATACAGTTTAGAGCAAAGAACAAATATAGAATTTAATGGACATTACAGGCTAAACATAGGAAGGCAAAGTGAAATAAGAGGCTGGAATTTGGTCAGACAATAACCATGTTCAGTCTATTCTATCTAAAAATTTGTCTTGCATATTTTATGACCACAGAGGAAGTACCATTTTAGCTCAGTAGTGCCATTTAGTGACTTGTTCCAGCTTTGGTCTAGAATAATTCCAGAAAGAAGAATATGACCCACCTGAATAATGAACATTATTTTTTTTGTTTTTCTTGAAACACGAAGAAATGTTTGTTTTCCAAACAACTCCATAGTCATTCTAGCCTTAATTATTTCGTGGTATCTAGTAGTGTGCTGAAGCTGTACACCACAAGACCTGAAAAAAACCAAAAAAAAGTCACTTGATATTTTAGCTTTTAAATGTCCAAAATTAGAGCAAACATCTGCTAAATTAACAAGATACTGTATTCCATTTTGTTGAATTTCTACCACCATCTATTCCAAAGAATGTGCTGGTGCATGAGAAAGCCTCAAAAAACCCCTCAGCAGTCAATACTGTACATCAGTGGTTACAGCACGTTATGATTTCAAGGTTGCAAATGAAACGAGGAAGGAAGAACAATTCTCCATATCCATTTATAATTTCTTCCAGATAATCTTTAAAGAATTGCAGTAGGAAGATTTTACAGATTCCAAAATTTCAATTTCAGAGAAATATTATAGCATAGGAAAGCTGTTAGTAACTGAGAATGTACTGTGTTTTGGCGCTGCTTGGTTGTAATGGACAGGCCACAGTGCTGAGTACATGCAAGAACAGGGCATTTGGAAACAATTGTTGCAGTGTGATGCATTTCTGACTCAAGCAACTTGTCTGGAGCTTTTTGAATTGATTTTCTTTGCTTGGGATATGTCCCATCAGTCACATTTGAACTAAAAAATAAGAAAAGGGAGAAAAACTGAAGTGATGGAGAGATTTCTTACAACCCTAATTCCTCCAAAAACTCAGATTTGGATAAAGGAGATGATATGAAGGCTCTTTCACTGGTAATGGGCGTGGATAATGGAATTTTAACTTGATAGTACATATTTAGACAAAAACGTAAGGAAAAGTTATGGCTTATGAAAAAATCCACTCACAAAGTTTTATAAATTCAGATTGGACCAATATGAAACATAAACTAATTCCTTAATTGTCTATTCCCCTTTCCTATTAATTGTGGAGAAGAGAATATCTCCATTAGCTTGAATTACAGTGAACATATAAATTTTATTATTTTGTATTTTGACTAGGCAAGGAGACAGAAGTCAGAGCTTTGCCAGTGTCTCGCTGCTTAAGGGGGCACAGGCTTTTAACTTCTGTCTGCCTCAACTTTCCCAGCTGTGTAGTGATTAGGCTACGCCACGCTTTGGAAAGCACAAATAGGAAACTGCTGAGCTGTTTAGTAGCATATAAATAGAATTTTAAAATTCCCTATGTGTTTTTAATTTCTCATCACAAGAATATATGATTCCCAAAAGTTCTAAAATCCAGGGGGCAGGGGATATTTTAAATTAAAAAGTTCAGTAAACAAACCTAAACGTGGAAGAGAGAATTTTTTCAGTACATTTGCATGCAGTGCACTAGAGGGCCCTCAGGAGTTAGAAATGGATGGAATGCACTTTTGGAAGGCATATGCTTCACAGAACTTTTCATTACAGAATTTAAAATAGAAGTTGCTGTGGTTTTGTGTGTGTGGGTTGTTTTTTTTTTTTTTTTAATAACGTGAGGTTCATGTAAGTTTATAGCAGTTCATATGCAAACCACCTCTCAGTAAAGTTAGCTTCCAAATTGTAGTTAGCTTGCAATGAAATATCTAAATGTGAACCATACTTAAAACTGAAATATGTGCTAGACGCCAGCTCAGTTACTTTTATTGACCTAAGGAGTTTACCAGAACAAAGGATGTGTCAAGCTGAATAGGTAAGAAATTTTATTTTTATAGCAATATACATACAATGTGCACTTATTCTATCTTTGTTTCTTTGGAAAGAGGTATCAGCCACTGTCATTTCATTTTAAAACTATAGCTAGATACTTTTTATAGCTTCAGAAGTGTGAAGAGAATTAACCATCTTCAATTTTTAATGTGTGTTTATGAATTATGTGAATTATATTCATGTCAACTAGGGAAATTTGGCAATGCTAATATATTTTTATATTAATGAATATGTGCATATTTAACTACTACAGTTACTGGTGTTAATATTTGGATAATTTACAGCATTTCCATGACCTAAGGTTTAGTGAAAACTTTATCTCATAAGAAAAAGATAATGATCTGAGTTTGACAAGCTTTTCTTCTAATGCTGTAATACAGCCAGCTGAGATTACAAATTGAGCCTATATTTAATGATTTTTGTGTTTGATTTATACTGTCATGAGAAAGTGAAAGATGTATCTTGACAAATTTCTACATACATACTGTCTCATCTGGAACTTTTTTCCCTGGAAAATATAGAACTACAGATGCCACATGTGAGTAATGAAATGAAATGTTACTGTTTTCTTTTCGCAGTTTGTAAAGGAGATACATCAGATCTTTTAGACTACAAGTCAGTAAACTGCTTACGCAGCTGGCTCCATTCATTCTCTGAAACCAATCACTTTCCCTGTGGTGGCTGATAAGAATTTAACAGCTTGAGAAGGTGGAGTGCATCCTTAGTGCTAACCACTTTCCCAGGCATATCAGTAGCCTCTGTCCATCACCCATGCTGGAAGCTAGTTGGAAAACAAGAAATAGAAATTGGGGAAGGAAAATCATGCATCATCATCCTGGTTGTAATGCACTGAAGACTTTATGCTGTTTTCATCATATGGATTCACCAGAGAAATGACCACCTTTGATCAGCAAAGTAAAATCAAAAACTTGTTTATTTGCTGCCTGTGCCCCTCGCGGGTGTTGAGGCTCTGGACTTGCAGGCGCCCAAGGACAAGGAGGAATCTGCTTGTGGGCACCGCCTGTGTGATCTACCTGGGATTCCTTGTCAGTCAGGTTGGTCATGTTTTACCCCAGCACAAAGGAGGACATCAAAAGATCAGTTCCAGAAGTCTCCAAGATGCATCCCAAACTCCTTTTCTGGGCATCCCACTGGATGGCACCCTGTCACCACCCAATTTCCAGGAACCCCAGCTGGGTAGCAATGGGACCTTGCTGCCACCCAATGTAGTTTATATCACCCTGCGGTCCAAGCGCAGCAAGCCTGCCAATATCAGAGGCACAGTGAAGCCAAAGCGCAGGAAGAAAAATGCAACGCCTTTGTCCTACGGGCAGCATTTTCCAAAAGCCACTTTTATGGGCCTGGAAGAGGCCTTTGCCCAACAGCCAGGGAGGGCCATGCATGCCACGGGCACAATGGGAGCAGCAGTAGCTCTGGAGGCGAGAAAGTACCAGCTGGATGAACATAGAAATAGAGGAATGGCAATCGAGGAGAGGGGTCACCGGAGACCCGGGATGATTTCTGGAGCTGTGAAGGCACAGCCCCAGCCTAAGGAAAGCAATATCAGGATTTACAGTGAGAGCGCTCCCTCGTGGATGAGCAAAACTGACATCTTAAACATGCGAATGCTGGCAGATTCTCCGATAGAGAGCATCCAAGAAGTACCTTCACACAAAGCAGTCCTGGTAGTGTTTGCAGGAGGTCCCAGCACCACAGGAACTGCTTGTGATCAAGGACACTGTGGGATCGTCAAAAGACCCCTCGACATGAGCGAAGTGTTTGCCTTTCATTTGGATAGGATCTTGGGGCTAAACAGGAGCTTACCTTCTGTAAGCAGGAGATCAGAGTTCTTCCAAGGTAACACATTCCTATGGTTTTCAGCTTGCAGGTGGGGTGCAGATGTTTCCTTTCCCCTCCCATGCAGCCATGGGGCAGCAGCCACCACCTTTAACTCCTGAGAGCCCAAGAGCTAACCCTATTGGTAGAGGGAAATAAAGCTGGTATAACTTCTGCAGTGCAGTTATCCTGTCCAAGGGATGCAGTACCCCAAAGTTTAGGTCAAATACCATTGAGTTGTTGAGGGCAGTTTCTCTTACATGAGAATCTGGAATGAGAAAAAAGAGAGAGTGTAATCCGTAGGTTGCATGAAATTGTAGAAACTGCCTGAAATGAAACTGGCGAAAGAGGTTCCGGAATACTCCATGATTCAATGGGTATTTCTGATGTTTTTTTAAAAAAGTTTTCTCATGTTTTAGAGTTGATTTCAATCAAATACTGTTGAAACTGGGCACAAAAATTCATCTCTTAGGTGGTAGGAAAGGGGGGTTGTATTTAGACAGGTAATCTACTCAGAGAGGTAGGGAACTTTCCTGCAGAAGCTTGAATCTACTTCTATGGTACTAATCCCCTTGGGAACTGAAAATTTTTTTAAAAGTGCTTCCCTCTCCTCTGGTACTTAAAAACCAAACAAACTACATGTCAGTGGATCTCGCTGTACATTTTGAGGTTAACTACACACATCTATATATTATCCAAAGAAACGTACACAGTAAATATCTCAATATGGCTGTTACATGATTGGCATAGAGTTTTCAATTAAAAATTTGATTTCTAACCTTTAGTGAAATTAAAGGTAAGTTTCAGACATGTAATGTGAGTTTTAACATTGCTACCTTCTTAAATATGTCTTCAGCATAACTGCTATTTTTGTACAGTCACAAATCACAATCCAGAAGGACTATGTTGCATTTTAATGAATCACTGCAAAAGTAGCTAGCTATGTTTTTGCTGTTCATTTCTTGCTGCTGAAGTTAGCTTATACTAAATACTTTTATATCAGTCTGCATTTCTTAAAAAGAAAAGTAATGCAAGAATGACTTTGTAAAGTCTGTCAGCAGGAAGACAATCCAGTGATGTCCAGTTTCTTCCTGCTTTGTAAACCTTCCCTTTGGCAGCCTGTACAACAATGTGAATGAATCTCTAGGAACAACAGTTTAGAGGCTTCTGAATATTATTCGTAGTTGCAGAGCATGGAAGATACATTATGCCTATTTTATTTTTAGGAACAACATCTATTGCTATAGAGCTGTCCTAAGGCATTAAGGTAGCTCGGTTGGAGGAACTCTGCATAGTGTGGCTGTGGAGATGACAGACTGCAAAGCTTGGAAAACTGCTGTTAGGCTAATTGTGCATTGTGTTGCTCATTGTCTGTCGCCTTACAGTATGTTTTAGACTGTCTGTGACAGAGTGTATTGTTCTGCCCTCTTTAATTTTCTCTTCCTCATAACTGGCTATGTTCCTATTGCAAGAGGAGGGTTGCTAGGTGATGAGAAGAGAAATAACGTTATTTTGGTCTCACTTCATTTTTTCCAGCTAAAAGCTGAACAGAGCATTTGGAACAGTGATTGTACCTTGTCTCTCACCATTTCTTTGGCCTGGAAATATGCTGGAGCTCAGATGCCTAATAACTACTTGAGCTCTTTACTGCTGATGTGCTTGTGTTGGGCATAATCTGAGAACATCTGTGTTGAGCAAATGAGCAAAAATATATTCTTAAAAATAATATGAACAATTAGCTCATTTCTATGACCCATATGCATTTCAGTTAAGATTAGGTGGGCATTGTAAAGTTTTTTACAAGGTAGCTTTTGTAAAATAGTTATTTACATGGGAAAGCAAGCAATGCAGGATTAAAGGCTGTGCATGTGTGTATGAATGTACACTATTTCTGGGCTGACACATCTCTCTCCCTGACACATCCCTTTTGCTTGCCCCAGTTGTGATGTGATCTAACAAGACATGTTTGATGTAGCATTAAAATCTTAAAAAATGGGCTTTTCAAAACTGTCATTCATTTTGTCAAAAGCAGTTTCAAAGAACTGCTTAGTGAATCCCTCTACAGGTTCTGTCTCCCTTATTCTCATAAATCTGCCTCTGATTTTTTGTCTAAAGTCTGTCAAAACACTGTACTCAAGTCCCCTGTCTGCTACCCTCACCTACCCTACTTAGTTGTCAGAGCTTTTAAGTGTTAACTGAATGTTTTTATCATTTGTCTAATTTTTCTATCATGGATGGAAAAATCAGGTATGATAACTGTCTCATATTTTTGCGATGCATTTTCTGAACATAAATGCCTGGGAAGTACAGGTAGGAAAAGCCCCTTTGAGTTTAGCGTAACAGACTAAAAGAGCATGATTTTGGGCATACGCAAGCAGTCATTCTTTCCTCCCATTGCTACCTACAAGTTGTGAAAAATGTCAAGAGCTCCAAAACATCTATAAACAGAGAAGGACAAGCCTGTAAAACAACAAGAAATAATCATAAAATTGTGTCTATTGGAGACAATGGAAGCTGAATCTTATGTGTCTGAGTTTTGAGATGATCACATTAATACCACAGTAATGAAAATCTTCATTATTTCATAACCCTAACCTGAGGAACAGAGGAGACATAAGGGACCTTGCTTGGTGTTGCAGCCCTATGTTAATTACCTTTGCACAGAAGCTAAGTAAAATGACTGCACGTGTTGCCTCTAGCTTCGAATTTTCAGGGTAGGACGATGGCAATGCTTGTTAGGGCTTCAGCTATGAGCTGGAGCAGGGTTGCTTCTCTGTTGCAGCTGACAGCTGTAAGGATAGCACTCTGGTTCCTTGGATTATAGCAACAAGGCTGAGCTCTTGGTACTATATATAATTATTGCTATGCAATTTTGTTGCACCACTTGCTGAGGGACTGAACTACTGCATGCTGTCGACTACCTCTATTCCTCTCTGACTTTCTGATAACCTAAGTTTGGTTAAATATGTTTTATACTGTGCTGACAAGAACAGAAACAGGTGTACTCAATTCAGCTTAATTTTTTTTTTAGCTCAAGGTCAAATCCACTATTTGCCCAGAACCTCTTTCTTTTTGTCACCCCCAAACATGCAAGCAACTCTTCCTTTGAATAACACCTTTCATGTTTGCATGATTTAGTGCAAATAGCTGAATGATGTGATAGATAGCTCCACTGGTTGCACTTGTCATTTTGCTTTACTGGCCTCTACATGATGATAAATGGAGCCATAAGCTTTTCCTTGTTGTACCCTGTGTTATCAGACTGTCCTTGCCATCTCATCAAAAGTTATGCAAAAGCATAACATATTATGAATCACTTATGTCAGGGCGAAGAATAAAACTCCAACCCAAGACTGCTTTATGCATGCAGGGTACTCTAAAATACTTCCCTATAGTGCTGTACCTCTCAGAGGGGTAAGAGAATATTTCCAATATTCTGTTGGGTAGAGAAGTTTGTGAATAAGCAACAATGCAGTCCATAGTCTAGAGAGCAACTAATGCACATTTCATGCATTCCTTAATACTGACATCTATATGAGCACAGGACAAAAACATTACAATGAGTTGCACAGGGAAGAAAGAAAAATAAATGGCCTAAATTCTCTCTGCTTTCTGCTTCTGTCCCTTATATTTTCCCTCAGAATTTAAACTCCCAAAATCAAGTAATGATCTGTATGTCAGTCCCTCTCATTTTCTACACTAAATTGCCCTCTCCTTCAAATATGTGAGCAGCTAAACTGCTCCTTGCAAAAGTGGCAGTGGTAAGCTGTACTGCAAAACAATGATGAGTTTGAGAAAGGGCTTTAGCTACCTCATGAATGGTTTTCTGTTTTTAGTGTTGCTGTTATGGGGCATGTTTGAAATTATTTTCTTTTAAGAAAGTTAGAAAAAATGCTGTAGCTGCAAGTTAGAGCACGAGATGAGAGTGATATTTGCAAGAGCAAAATGTGATGAAGAAGAATGCAGAGTATTTTTGAAGTGATATGGAGTGTGGATATCTAAGATGATGCCTGTGTTGAAGAAGGCATGCAGTGATACATTACTTAGCTGCACGTGAAGCAGTTTGAGTACCTTGAGGTAGTCTAGTCTCAGTAGCCTGAGGTTTCATCTGTGTTAGCTTATTCAACTTAGCAAAGACATTTTAGAAATATTTTGATATTCAAAGATGTGTATGATTTACTAGGAAGCTGGTTTCAACATGAGTTCTGAAAAATCTTTCCTATAGAATTTTGCAAATTGCCTTTGGATGGTTAGGTAGATATACAGATCTAAAGTGGCAGATGAAAGTTAAATGAAGCCATTGAGCTTTGGGGGAGATTCAGTGCAATGCAGCTGCAGCAAAAGAAAAGCAGCAGCCCTTGGTGTTAATATATAAAGCTGACTAGGAAAGAAGGACATACAGAATACACTGGACTTATTCTGAAGTGTACTCAACCTTCTCAGTTTTGGCTGTAGGTCTCTTCACTATTCAGGTGACTTTAGCCCTATCCTCACATGGTTTGAATCAGAAGAGCTCCACTTATTTCCTTAAGGTCATGCCAATTCATCCAGCTGTGAATCAGACCCCTTATCTGCTTTAATTCGGAATCTTCATGTTTTTCCCGCAAGTGTCAAAAATCTGAATCACAGCTCTTTACTGAAGCTGCTGTTTCACATTCCTGTAATTCAATTTATATTACAGAGTTGAAGGATTTTATTTTGGCTCATCTTTTCTACCCCCATTTCCTCTGAAATGCAAACATTTCCTGCATTTAACCTTAGTCTTTTAAAAATGTTTTTGTATCTTAGTGGAAACTGGCAAGATATTATTAATATTTTTCAAGTATTTATATTACTATTGTTTATCATGTCCTTTTTGGGTAGACAGGAGATGTTTGTTTTGTTAGAAGACTGTTTATGTATTTGGTTTGTGGAAAAATTCATGAATAGTTACATAAGCTGTAACTGGAGATATAAAAATAATAGATCAAGCTTGGTCCTGAAGAAAGCAATCCTTTTTTTGTGACAATTTCCAATGCTTATATAGACTTTCTCCAACTCTCTGGGAAAAGAAGCCTAGCCAATAGTTGACCTAACTTGGCTAAAGTCATCTTCAATGTAGGTAATGGAGCCAGAGCAAGAGAGATGGAGGAATGGGTAAGATTTCCCAAATTAGTTACCTAAATACTTATTCAGGAACCTCAGTAGAAGAGAAACCTGATTTTCAGGAGTGCTCAGCACTTTTTTTCAATGGAGGAAAGAGTATGGAGCATGCTGCTGATAAAGGTAATACTGATAATGAAAGAGAGATTGATGTTCCTAATAGAAGAACACGCTCTGTGTTCTAAGAAAGCATTGGACAACTGGGAAGGAAGTTAAAGAGGTGCTGAAGCTGCATGTTGGTTTAGGTTGGCTTGTCTTGGCTTGGGAAGGACTACCTTGTATGTGGAAGCCGCGGCAGAGAGAAGATCAAGTACATCTTGGTTTTGGAAAGGAATTAGTTTTTCTCTCGGGCTTGATTGCATGCAGGGCCTCTCTTGCTTTTTTGGTGAACACAAGATGGAACTTTACATATGTTTCAGTGCTAGGTATGGGCAAAGATAGTTTCTTACTTGTTGTTTTAGACCAGTCAGCATCCTTTGAACAAGTTGCTTTGTGATTCAGCTGTATGGAGATAGTTTTTCACAGTCCTGGCTGCTTACAAGTGGAACATTCACATCAGCAGCTTTTACCTTGCTGTTGGCATTGATACCTGCTTTCCCTGTGCTATTCTCTGTCTGGTTTGCTTCTAGAGAAGGTGCCTTGGACCTTTTGCCTCCATGTGAGTTTCTGAAAGCTTTTTTTCAAATCTGTCTCTGTCTCCATGGGCATGTGGAAGACAAAGAGACAGTTTAGGCTGCCTTTAACTATGCAGTAAATTGTGCAATAGTGTAGACTTTAAGTTCGTTGACCTTCAAGATGAATATGAATAATTTTTAAAGCTTTATATGTGTTCGAACACTTGTTATTTAGTAAACAGCAGCTTTGCAGATAAATGGTTCTTCCTCTCTGTACCAAGACATATTTTGGTCTTTTGTCTACACACCCAAAAATGTAAAGAATTTCTTTGTTTTAATGTGTGTACAAGCCACAGTCAGTCATGGGTCCTTGACAGTTTAAGGCAGCAGTAGCATTGCATCAACCATAAAAGGAGAGTTCCACTTTCCCAAGAAGATAGATACATTTGTTACTTGACATTTCATGAAATATATTTGCCAGTTCTTATACGGAGAAAGCTCATTTTAAATTCTTTGATGAGATTTCTTCTCACTGAGAATTCTGAACACCTGAGTTCACCAAAGAGAAGTTCCTTTTCTCTGTTTCAGGGAAGAGCAGAATATTCTTTACACAGAGGAACTAAAGAATTTGGCCAAAATATCTGCTATACAAACCAGATTTCATCTCTAGGTAAAAACTCCAAACTTGTCCGGGTGTTTATTCTTGCTAAACTCACACATTCTAGTATTCTCATGTATCTTTTCAGAGCTCTGAAGGCATAAATACTTAAGTTCTAAAATACTAAAGATAATAAAATAAACCCACCTTGAGTATAGAATTTGCAGTGTTTCTATATCCATTATGCAGAAAGAAACCCCTTTGACATGTTTTCAACTCTTGAAAATCAGTTCACTGGAATCAGATGGAAATTACATTGTTGATTCAGAGTGTAGGCTCTTAATTTACCTAGAAACTTCATAATAGTTTAGTTTAGTATACGATTTTGTACATTAATCTCTTGCTTCAAACAGGAAAAGCCTTCTGTCCACTGAAGGCATTTATGCCTATGCTTTTGTTCCTATGGTGGCTGGTGTTGGATGTAGAATAAGACCATGTTGACCAAAGGATGTCAAGTTATTAGTCCCTGGCTGTTTTTCCTGCCAGATCTGTAAAATGTCTAAAGAAAAGTCAAATAAGACTGACAGTATTGTACTATACTAATGATGTTTTTTTTCTTTTTTTCAGGTGGTCAAGCCTGTCCTGTTATTCTCTGGGATTCCTCACTGAGTCCAACAGATAATAGTACCCATTCTTCAGTGAGGTTAACATGGGGACAATATCAGCAGCTGTTGAAGCAGAAATGCTGGCAGAATGGTAAAGTTCCCAAAGCTGAGTGGGGCTGTACTGAAATCCACCATCATGAGTGGTCCAAGATGGCACTTTTCGATTTTCTTCTGCAGGTAAATCGCTTACTGAGCACAACTATCTGCTTCAAAAATCATGTGAGCAAACACAGGACTCTTAGAAAACGTAATTTTAGTCTATTTCATTTTTTTTAATGGGAAAGAGATGTATCTGCATAGTTTGAATTTATTTCTGTTTTTTTCTTATGATTAAAATATCCAAAATGCAGTTTATAATCAGGGAAAGAGATCAGGAACATAACTGACTAATTTCCTTTTAAAGAGGAAGCAAAGGCTTTTGACTTGTTTTATTTCACCTTGAGACAGGCATACTGTTTCTCCTTCACTCCTTTTTTCTCCAAAAGAAAAAGATCTTGACTATGTTCACAACTGTAAATCTCTGTTTACTGTGTGGTCCTTCTTGCACCTCCCCAGCCCCCAGAGGTAGCTGAAGTGGTTTTGGTGAGCTGCAATCTGGATCAATATAGCTGTAGTTGCTAGTTTTCCTTTTTTTAAAAAGTGTAGCCAGTGACTTAGCCAGGAAGGAGTAGAGCAGCAACTGATGAATGATATAGCTGCTGCTCCTTGATTAAGTACTTCGCATGAGCATTAGCTCTCCAATTAACACCAAACGAGGGCGCTGCCCAGTGGTATAGTGTGTGGCTACACTTTTACAGCAATTATGTAGTAGAATATTAATACAGTACCTGCATTAACAAGACCTGAACTGAATCTCATACCTGGAAGATGATTTTATGGCTTCCTGAGATATGGCGCTGCTTTAAGTTGTCCTTACCTGACAGATAAATACAGGTGACTGAGCCTCCTGCAGCACTTACTGGTGTGTTTAAAACTGCATCAAGCGCTAATTTTAAGCACTGTGTTTGGTTTTTCACACAATTTAGTTTTTAAGAGGGTGAAATTTCTTGAAATTTAAAAATCATGACTTGGCTTATGCATAGCCTATCCCTGTTCTTCTTAGTCCTGTTAGAGAATGAACTCATGTCTCCAGTTTTTTTAGTTATATTTTTGCATATTTGTTACGTTAAACAGAGCATTCAATTATTCTCCAAAAATAGATTGCCACTTGTCTAATAACTCCATCTTTAGTCCCATTATGAGGAAGTAATGCTTAAAAATGGGTATAAAGTCATACGTGGATTAGTCTGTTGCTAAACAGTAAGGGTCCTATAGGAATAGTACAGATTGTGTCAGAGTTAATGTTTTCATGCCATTATATTCTCATTTAACAGTTTAAAAATTCTAATGAGTTCTGTGTTGATTTCTAATTTTAGGGTCTTCTAAGAAAAGTTTGTGATATTCATAGTAGAGCTCCTATTATCCAGAAGGAGCTGGATCTTAAAATAAGATACAAAAGGATTGAACTTTACATGACAAGAAACAAATTACTGTTGTACTAGTAGCTGGTATCAGAGTGATTTATGCCTCCGGTTCCCTACCAGACAAGAACACGCATGCCAGATAGTGAGTGAAAGTGAGCCTTATGGTTATTAAAAACAAAATTTTGTCTGGGTGCTCTCATACTTAACTTTAAAATTTTTCATCAGTAGAAGAAGACTCTAAAAAAAAAAAAAAAAGCTAAGGGGGGGTTCTGCATTTAAAAAAAAAAAATCTCTGCTTCATGAGTCATTCAGAAATAGAGAATAATGGTGAAAAGTATTTTCTGTTAAACATACTTCCCTCAGAAGAATGGGTTTGGTTCCTGTAATAGGTGTTCCTAATCTCTGGTTTCAAATGCTATAAGACATAGGAGCAGGGTGAAAAATGCTTATAGTTGACCTTTATTTGCCTTCTGCAAGAACTCAAGCAAAATAAGGACATAAACGTAAAGTTGCTTCTTTAATTTTGGGGGTTTGGACCTCTTATGTACATAAATGTATAACAAAAAACATGCTAAACTATTAAGGTTGAAGCATCAATTCCAGAGTGTCCCATCATAATGGCACTGAAATGAGGGAAGATATTATGAAAAGGCTGTCTGTAAAACATGATCTCCTTGTCTATTTAATGCACATAGTGAAGTGTGGTGCAGATGAATTAGGTCTATACATCAAAAGAGTCTGTCTAGAACAACTCTGCTTCACTTTTTTACCTTTGGATGAGTTGAATAAGAGATCCCATGACCTAAACAGTGGAAGCCAGAGAGACTCTACCACCTGCAGATGCTGAATGCTGCTCATGAAAGGAGAAAGAGGCAGAGAAATCTCTTCCTCAGGATTTTCACATTTGAAAACGAACACTTTCAGCAATACTGCTAGCAATAGAACTACATGTAAAAAAAACAACCAACCAAAATTAAACCCAAACAAATTCTCAGACTTTCATTTGATGAAATAGGAGACCTTTTCATTTCAACATGCAACCTAGTTCTACATCAGGTGAAAAGTCCTAACAGTCCATTTCACTGGGATGTCACAAAAATAAAGTAATTTTGGAAGGCTTATGTGAACATTAATGCTTTTGTGCTTAGAGCAGTGTAAAGACTTAGCAGTAAACGAGAAGGAAGGACAGAAGATTGCTTTACCTTTGATAATCTACTCATTCAGCCTTAGATGCTCCAGACCAGACTTCTACTCTCTAATTACCTGTTAGCAGGGACAACTCTACTCTCTGGGAAGATGAGCTGGAGCCAAGGGCAGCTCTAGGGCAGGTAGGACAGGCAGGGCCAGCAGCAGGAGAGGCAGCCCAGCAGGATGGATAGTGAAAACCATGCGTCTGATTTATAGTCCAGTGAGCATCAGGCACAGACAAGGCTGCAAGGCAATTCGAAGACCAACAAGCATGAACCCCAAGAAGCAACCCAGAAACATCAGGTAGCAGGACAAGCAGCAGATAACCACCCCTCCCTTCAAAGGGCTCAGAAGAGGGCTGAGGTGCCAGGCCTGAGTTTAAAGGGGGTTCCTGTGCCCAGACACAGAGGTGAGGTATGTGGAAGTCCCAGATGAGACTTCTCAGGGCAATTCAGGTTGATTTGTGTGCTCAGGGCCCTGGCAATGTTGAGTATTTATTCTCATCTAGTCAACAGGGGTAGAAGCACTTTCAAGGAGTGATTTATCCTTCCTGTATTAGATGATTATCCAAAAATGGCATCCATTGCTCTGGATGTGCCTCATTCCCTTCATTGTTTATGAAAGGGAAAAGAAATGACTAAGTCAAAAGAGATGCTTAACATTTACACCACTAAAGTTAGACCAGATGTGTGTATTCCTTCCAGCTAAGAGCTGTGTGATGAATAATCGAGGGTTTGCATGGGAAAAAATAACCTAGACCATCATGTCATTAAAGTTTATTCTACAGTGCAACTCAGGGAGGCTGCTCTATGATTATAAGTTCACTATTCTTGCATTTTATAGCTTTAGATGATTTGTTGTGCCCCTTCCTAGTCTTTTCAGTTATTTTGTGTACTGTTAGTCTAAGAGATTCCACAAAATGAAGATCCTCTGTGTGTGTCAGACTGTGCTATTTCTATTGTTCTCCAACAGAGAAAATGTAAAAAAAAAACCTACAGCCTTCTGAAAAAAAAAGAATTGTATTCACCATCCTGTTATTTCAGTTACACAGTGGTATTGTTCCGTTATTTTCAAAGAATTTCTACTGACATAACAAATCATGGCTATAAAATGGATAAAATACACAGTCTGAGACATTGCTTCTAGCAGTACATGAAGTATGGGGACCAGGTCTTCAATGCCATTTCACTGCTGACTTTAATTATACTTGTCCTGGGCTTGCTTTCCTGTCAACTCTGTTAGTGAGTGATGCCTTACAGTGGCACTTTGCCCCAAGTACTTTGGTATTGTTTTCACTTGGCACTCTGCTGTACTTTGTTTTAGATCTATAATCGACTAGACAGAAACTGCTGTGGATTCAAACCTCTCAAGGAGGATTCCTGCGTGCAGCAAGGACTGAAGCTGAAATGTAATGATCAGGATGCTGTTGACCTGACACACATAGTTCAGAGAAGGCATGACCAAAGGCACTTGGCCTTTGTAGACAATAAGGGTTTCTTTGACAGAAATGAGGACAATCTTGACTTCAAAATACTACAAGGAATCAACGAGTAAGTTTTAAGTTAATAATTTTGTAAAAAGATTGATAATTTCTTCCCAGTTTGAGTATGAGACTCTTAAGTTACTAGAATGGATTTCATTGGTCAAGACATTGACGGGATGTGCCTAAAATGAGTAATCCCACTGCTGTAAAAGATAAGTTAACATGCATATGGTTAAGCATGCATGGAATATTTGCTGAGTCGCAGGGTACAGTCATAGAATTGATTGCTAAAGCACAACATAAATATTGCAGTTCAGAGTAATGGCAAAGCTGATGAATTTCTTTGTTCTTTTCCAGATTCCCTGAATCTGCAGTTTCAGTGCTGAGGAGCCAACGTTTACGTGAGAAGTTGCTCCAGTCTTTGTTCCTTGACAAAATATACTGGGAGAGCCAAGGAGGCAGAAAAGGAATTGAAAAGCTTATTGATGTAATAGAAAGGAGGTCCAAGATTCTTCTTACTTATATAAATGCACATGGAGCCAAAGTATTGCCCATGAATGAATGAAACAGTCTTGTTTCCATTTGAGAGACAGTCTTTAAAAAATTTTGTATGGGGCAAAAATTGACAGTAAAATTGATTTAATTCATAGAATTATTTAATTTTTTCCCCCAAACTTTCAAGGTTATTTTTAAATAAGAAATCTTACATGGTTTAAAAGCAATACTTAAATGTCAGCTTCAGCTCAACACAGTGAAGTCTCTTCTGTCACCAGTGGCATGAAAAATAACCAAATGGTGCAATAAATAATATGCAGTAATATATAGATATCATGAACACTCCTTCTGTTAAACTGTTTGAAAATTAGTAACAGGATTTTCAGTACATTAGTCTGGATTACTCTTACTTCCCCCATTCAGGTCAGTATAAGTTTTTCTCACAAGTTTAAATAGGACCAGAGATATATAAGCTTGATGACAACCGTCATCGCGTCTACTTCCTGAAACATATATACAGAAATTGGTCTTTTTATTAGGAATATTAAAATCCCAACATTTCCAAGGCTTGTTTTATTTTATTTTGATCTTTTGAAACCTGAGAACTAAATTCAGCTCTTTTAAAGACAGGAGTGCTTGCACTGGACATGAAAGAATTTTAAAAACAGACAAAAGAGAACATAACTTTAACAATAATAATTATTTTGACAAATACCTGTCCAGTATGGAGTACAATTCATCATGAGTCACTCATTACAATGTACTATTTTCAATGCAAGTTGTTCTGATGTGTAGGTGGATAATCTGATATTTTCTGTCTATTGATTAACTGGGTATTTCTCACAGAGTTGTCCTTTGCTACCACTATTTTTAAAAGTGGCTTTAGCTTTTTGTGAATATGCTGCTGCTACATGTTTTGTTTTTGCAAAATTCTTGACAATATTTTTTGAGAATTATTAAAAAGCAGACATGAGTGTTGTTAAACCCAGCACCCAGGAAATGTTTATTCTGTGTGCTCAGCTCTGGCCAGCAGTTCAGGCTTTGGTTTTCCATTAAGGTTGACCACTATGGAGTGACTTGCCCTAAGTGTTCCCAAAGGTAAGGCTGTTAGAGAAAGTTGGATAAGCGCTTCAGATTTCTATCCTCCAGAAATAAAATATCAATTGATTCTACCTGTTTGTTTGGAAAGACTTTTATCATCTTTCTAGAGAAATATCTATCATCTACTTGCCATGAGATAATGGTAGAAGTTGGATACTTTTGTAGCTACTCTTGTCTTTATGTATAGTAAAAAAATATATGGTGTATAAGATTTTAAAATATTGTTGAAAGTGCTTGTTTAATGTCATTAATGAGAAACTAAAATGTCTCATCACTGTTAGTGTGGATGGGTGAATATAATGTTTTAAATAACTACAATTCCACTAAAACCAGCTAAAACCAGTTTTCTTCCTTAGTATCGGAAAACCTATTAACAATAATTGCATTACTAGGAGAAATAGATCTCATTATAGACAGACTTAAAAATACTTAGTAAAATTTAAAGGGCTTAGCCAGCTAAATAATATTTTATTTTATTTTGTCGGCAAAGGACAGATAAATCTGTTAAAACTTACTAGAACTTAACTATTGCCTTGAAAGCACATGTTTTAGAGTGCCTTGGACTTTTTAATAGCACCAAAGTAGAATTTTATAGGATTTTCTTCTTACTCCTTTCTTAAAAATGTTGTAACTTATCAGCCAGATAATTTTTTTCACAGAAACAAAAATGTTAATTTGTCTTGCACTGTGAACAGAGTCTAGAGAAAGAAGTAATCCTAAGGATCCATTTCACATGGAATTCCTGTTGCAGTGAATTTCACTCTTTGATGACCATCATGATCAATTTGTCTCATTTTCTAGCGTATCTCACAGTTTTCTTCCTGCTAGATATCTGTTCAAATGGATTATCAAACACTGCTGGGAGTGGGAGAAAGGCATGAATCTCAGCTGCACTAAACTTAGTAGAGGGCCAAGTGGAGATATGCATGTACCTGATTATGAAAAAAGTCCTATGGGAACTCTGTCTTCTATCTTTTAGACTGCACATCCTGATGCCAAGTCACTTCCTCACTTTGCCCAGTTGTTTTTTTTTTCCGGAATTGGGTCATTTTCCAAGAAAAGAGGAAATTGAAAGTAAGGATTTTTTACCTTTTTCAGGTTGGGTCATTTATTTATATGGTCATAACTCGATGCATTCTTCTCCGTTTCTTCTGGATATGGACTAGTGTTTCCCTGAGCATGACACATGCTCTTTTATTTGCCTGGCAGTTCAGTGCCAGCTCTTAAAGCAGCAATGTAATTGCCTACTAGTAAGAAATTGCCCTGAGGCTGATCTGGACCACTGCCTCTCAGTTGTCATGAGTTTAAGAGGTCTGAGCAGCCATGATGCTGTGCAGTACTTGAAAATTTGACCAAGCATGAAAAGCATAACTGTAAAAAGCAGAACTTCTGGAGACTTTCCAAGGGCAAAGAAATACTTCTTTCTCTGAAAGTCTGAATTTGTGTGTAGGACAAGGCATTCTGCATGCTGCTCTCATCTTACAATGGTGCATTATTATTGCGCTATGCATAGCTGGAGGCTTTGCTGTGTTAACATGCCATATTTCTTATGTGTGCAAACACTTTCATAAGTCTTCAGGTAAGTCAGGAGAGGCTTTGTGAAATTGGACAGTGGGATTGGACTGTAAATTTCTTCTAATTCTCTAATGTTCATAACAAACTCCAGAAAGTGCTTTTTCTCCATAATGTTTATCCTGTTGCTCCGGAGCTTGGTATTTGAATCCAGTATTGTTAACAATGCAAATTATGATTGCAATAGCGCTTGTGAGTACATACAAGCCAAGGTCTAGGGGGTTGTTTTATGATAATGAAGAATTCTGTATTTTTTGAGTGCATTTGCATAAAAGTTACAGTAAGAAATACAAAAAAAGCACTTTATTGAGTTTGTTCATTCTCTGCTACTGCATTCAAGATACCTACTGTCCCTTCAGTAACAGGGGTAAAGTTTATTGGGAAATCGGTTCACTTCCTTTGAAAGCAGCATGACGCTGGACTGACAGGAAGCGCACTGTGGCCTAAATAATATTAACTGACAGGGCAAATCCCGAAGAAGTCTTACTCAGCCTGTGGTGATCAATAGAAAGCCAAGAGTCTGTGCTTTAGTCATCTTTGCTGGGCTGTCTTCCATTTCTGGGCATATGGGATCACACAAATGTTGGTGTTGCATATTACTTGGAAGGGTGTAACCAACAGCAACAGTGCAAAACCTGTGGGTAGGAAAAGGCGATTATGTCATTCTTGAATCTGCTTGAAAGCCAGAACCACATGAAATGGAATTACTAAGAAAGTCAAAAGAGTCTGCTAATTTCATAACACTGGGAGACAGAGCTTAAAATAAGTAGCACAGGCACAGATGCCTTAAAATTCCTCGGGAGCCTGCCAGCAAGTTAATACTCTTAAATGTTTCAGAAGCTGAGGACATGAAAACTTCTGTGGAGCACTGTGAGAGCAGTTTCCTTCTTTTTTTTGTGTGTGTACTCCATAACATGCTATATTAAAATAATAATAATAAAAAAGATAAATTCCATGGTTTCAAATGAGCAAATACAGATTTAGGATACGTTAAGGGACAAGGTTCCACTAGCAATTCTGGGAACACTTTCATGTGCATGCCTGTGTATGGAAACACAAACATACATGTATATATTTATATACTTAGGCTTGTTCCTATAAAATGGTCAATTTGGCTAATAAAGAGTGAGCTGTTTATGTAATTTACTGTTTACATGTAGAATTGTATTTGTGAATGTAAGTCAAATTTTGGGTATACACAAGTTGAAGTTTAAACAAAACATTATTATAGATGAAACTTTTGTTCTCAAAGGATTAACTCTTCCCTTGCCAACACATTTATATAATCTTATAAGTTTTTCATTTGTAGGGAAAAACAGCAATATGTTTGTGTCTGAGCTAAACTGCCAGAGTGATATCAATTCAGAGGTTTTTTAAAGTTTTGTACTAGATATTGAATTTCCATTTTATTTTGGAATTTGTGAATTTTAAAAGTCAATTTGTTTATACTTTAATTAATACCAGTAAAAGCGTGTTCACAAGAAATGAATCATTTGAATCTCTACTGCTATTTTCATATAGTGTCTAGGAATATACAAAATAAAAGAATAACTGTCAGATTTTCAGTTCAGCTCTCTAAGTTGCAATAACAAAACCATAACACAATAATTATTGTAATATGTGGATCATTAGTTACTGTTCAGAAAGAATTATGGCCTTGAAGCTGCTTCTTCACAGAAACAATCCAAAACAGATTATAGGGCTCTTTCTGTCGAAATATTTTCTAGCTGTTTACTCATGAGAGTTGCAACTCTTTCTTACTAAGCTGATGCAGTGTATCTGTGAAGCTTCTGGTTACTGAAGCACTGGTATTTACTACCTTCTTTAGCCATTCTGACAGTACCTACTTACATAAACATTGAGCAGAAAAGGCCATGGCCATTTATGATGCCAGAACAGAAGTATTGGTCGGTGACTCGTAAACTTTCTAACACACCATGAGCAAACACAGGAATAGAAGAGAGATACTGAACTGCATGTGGAATAGAGACTCACACAGAGTTAAAGTACCCTAAGAACTTTTGGCCTCTCAAGTTTACATTATTTGCCATGATCCAAGAGAGGCTGATGGGAAACACAAAGATGCTGAAACATTTTCAAACCTTCTCTTTCCCACACAAAGTAATTTGCTTTGTTTTATTAAAAATATTACTTATTTTTGCATGTTATTGTGTGCTTCAGGCTAAGTTCTATCAGATACATTTGTGTGAATTAATTTCAATTTCAGTGAATTATCCCATTTCCAGATAAAACAATTTAAGTCAGTTAGGTTAATCCATGTTCTCAGAGATTGGAGAACTGAACCCTAAGGTCAAAAGGAGACCTTAGGAGACTACCAGACAAATAAGGAGAGTTGCCTGAAATATAGCATGGATATAGAACCTGGAATGTAAGTGCTCTAAACAATATCTGTGGGCTCCAAGCGGGATCTACAAGTGTTCTTTGAAGACTATCAGCTTGTTCCATCTGTATTTCTGTGTGTCAGGACATTCAAAGGGGACAAGTTCAAGGACAGCATATTTATATATATGGACTTCGTAAAAATTAGGCAAGCTTTTATCCTCTAACATTCCTAATAGAACAATTCTGGATACTGGGGAATATAGGGGAAAGGGGCCACAGATAATGCCCCAAGCTCACGTACTCACCTCACAGTGCCACAGTCCAAGAGTACTATTTGGCTGGGTGGCCCCACTGGTGGTTTTCCAAAAGCAGTTCCATGGATTTTGTTCTTTTGGAAAAGATGAAATGCACAAAAAAATGCAGAAACCTTTTTTCCCACTGTGATGCATTGTTTTATCTGGGTATACCAATGCTGTTACTTATTTGACTGAAATAAGTAGCTTTCTCTAAAAATTAGTTCAGTTTCAGTAGTTATTTCCTTTTTAGTCTTTTGCAGTACGTTTACTTCTTATTTAATCATTTGGTTTCAGCATTCACTGTTCAAGAACATTATCTCTATTTCCTTCAATGGAAAAACTGGCATGGCATTCCATAGAGGTCTGCTAAGCTGTACAAGCACGCCTTATCAGAGGTATTCTTCAGCTGGCTATGTGAAACACTTTGAGATTTGGATGGAATTTATTAACTGTGTAAAAGCCAGCCTTATGAAGTGTGAGAATTATGTCTGACAGATGGTAAAAGCTGGTAGTCCAGTGTGCTGCTACGCTCTGGGAATTCTGAAACAACTGCAGGTCAAACATCCTAATTTTCAGATATATGAGGATGTATCACATACCTAAGACAGGGTCTTTTATGGTCACCTGGGGTTTTTTCCTACCTCAGGTCTCCTGAAATAGAAATATGCAATCAAAAAGTAAAAGTGAAAAGTTACTGAAGCATACTCTAAATACAGCTGGGGCATAGTTGCAGTAAACTGGTGATACCCAAACAAAAGCTAGACCTGCCTAATAAAAATATCATCCTGAAGGAAGATGAAAGGAATCATACTGTTAAATATGACAAGACCTAACTTGAAAAAACCTCATTATGTGAGGAA